GTACAATTTGTTGAAAGTAGACTGGTCAGGACATCAGACAGGGATTACATAGGATCAGCACCCCCTGGTATGTGGAGATAGAGCAGTTTACCAGCTGTGGGTGCTCTTACAAGTGGGTTGCTGAGCCACAGAGGACAGGAGTTCACAGCTCTCCCTGGCCTGGTGCTGTCCTGTGCTCACATTTCCTTCCACAACCGCCATCCCTTAGTCTCAGTTTTCCCATCCAGACAATAGAGGCAGCCACATTTCTTGTGCAGCATTGCTGTCAAAATGAATTAAGAGGTCCAAAGAGTACTTTGAAATGCAGATATTATGCTCACTGGTTTTAATGCCTCCAAAGCGGTCTCCAGATATCTCTAAATCCTCAGGATATCCCTGATCAATTCCTGTTTTACAGATGAGGAAGCCAAGCAGAGGGACGGATGCTTTAGTCCATCTCTTTTATGTCGGGTTCTGAGGGTCCCCCTGACCTTGCCGTGGCTCAGGTTCCCAGTTGTTGGCTCACAGTGTCCAAGCCCCATCCAAAGCCACATTTTGCTGATGACACAGAACAAGCATCACAGATGTAGAGCCTTCATACCTGGCTACTAACTCCCTATAAAGCTATTTCCTTTGAGAGGTCAACACCCAGGCTTGAGCTCCCATCCCCTCCACCTGGTGTGATTCACATATTTATGGCATCCACTGTGCCCTGCAGGACCCCCTTCCCAGAAAGCTCGGGCACTGTGGGGCTGAACTGTATTCTCCTTGCCTTTGCAGGTGTACTGGGAAGGAGCAGGACACGGGAGCTTCTAGTCCCCAGGCCTGTGATCAAATTATCTCTCCCTCTGTCACACATCCTAATCATCACAGCTGGCAGTCATGCCAACAATATTAACGCTGCTGAGTAGCTTTCAGTTTTGCAATTAGCAGTGTTTTCTGCTTCCCTCAAATAAAAAATAGGCTTGTACTTCTTAACACTGCATGAACGATACAGATACATTCAAGGCCCGTGTTAGTGTCTTGTTGAGATGAACCAACATTAGAAGTGCTGGAGAGATTTTAAATCTTTTGGAGATTAAAACGGTTACAAAGTTTATTATTTCTAAACATGTTTATCCTGCCTCGCTTTTTTGTTTCCAAAATTAGGCAAAGCACAGTTTAAATAAACAACTATTGTACTATTAAACATTGATTAAAGAAAAGGATTCCATTTAAATTATTAAGTGGTAAGATAAAAAGCATCCCTTCTCTTTTGTACGCTACTTTATTCAGAAGTCAAACTTCTGTAGTCTCACTGAATGCTAATGAGCAGCATAATAATGCACAAGGGCAAGAGGGGGCTGAGTAATTAAAAACAGAGGCCAGAAATCAAAGGGCTTGAAATACACTTACCAAAATAATTCAATTATACATTAGAAACCTGGGATAATCGAGACACATCCCACAGTTTCATTCATCATTATGCCCCAATTTAATATCTCTGCTGGTTTGGTGAACACAGGAAGCAGCAATTGGGACTTTCATGTGTGAGGCCTCAGCTGAAGAGACAAAGGCAACGTGCACTCAGGTCCCATCCTCATCACTCTGCACCTTGAAAATGGCTTCACTTGACTGAGAATATTCTCAATTATCTGAGTTAGGGAAATATTTTTGGTCACCAGCTATTTCTGTACTTGTTGAATATTCCTTTTTTTCTCTGGGTTTGCAATTAATTAATACAAATCTCCACACCCACCATTTTATCTTCCCTATAAGTCCACCTCCCACCTCTCTCCTTGGCTTCACCTTTTCCTGTGGCTTCAGGCTTTCCTGGTGGTCCACAAAAACCTCTACCAAGCAAAGCAGTGGGCAGGTTTGTTCAGCAAACCGTGTATTTAACTGGGATGGCATCATGGGACTCTCAGGTTTCCACGCAACACAAGCTGGGTCAAAAAATCCTGATGTAGCTTTGCAATGTCACCACTTTTATGAGCCAAGGAGTCCCAGAACAGCTTCTAGTCTCCAGGATAGCAAAAGGGGCTGTAACATTTTTAGGAAATTCCAGCGGCACATTATAAAACAAGGAAAAAAGAAACGGTTTGATCTCGTTCAGTGACTTTGGAGATCGACAGAGGATTTATGTTATTTTGCCTTGATGCAATAAGCAATGATCAAACTTAGTCCCACTGCACTGGCAACAGCTTAATGGAGGGACCTGTAAGTGGTGCATTGTCAAGAACCATGGAAAAACCAGAAAAACTGAACAGGAGGTTCCAGCTGACAAAGGAGAGTACTGTGTTCAAAAAGTTTGCAAATGCACAAATTGTTACCTCAGTTCTGGTACATAATTAAGGCAAAACCAGGTGAAAAATGTTGGAAATAACCCATTTCAGAAAAAAAAAAAATCAGAAGTTTCAAGAAACCTAACACTCAATTGCACTCAGCTTCCTGAGGAATTAGTCTCATTGTCTTTTTATAATTTTTAAAGATTTAAGCACAGAGACTACTAGTTGTCTCTAATGAGCAATGAAGTCAAACTAAACACTGCTGTGCTCCACGAGGTGAGAGGAGACCATAGGCCAGCACAGGTCACCATATTAAATGGTGACAAAGGGAAACAAGAATCTCAGGTCAGGCTTTCCAAAACTAGGGGTCTTAATTAAAACAAAGGTTATGACTTCAGCAGTTGGGTGCTCTTTAGCACAGTCCCAGCTATTACTGAGCTCTGCTGCATCTTCCACTCAGAACAAAACAAAGGGCTGCATGTGAAGAGCGAGGGAGCTTCAGCCAGTGCATGACAGCAGCTAATGTGGATATCTCCAAATTTCCCCAGGCCTATCAGCCACATCTTCCTCAGGCAGAAACAAAACTCTCTTTGAGATGATTTGGCTTCCCCCAGAAAAAAAAAAAAAAACAAAAAAACAAAAAATCACATTCCCTTGTTAAAAGGAGGATCATTAAAACAAACAAATCAGCCCATAATGTGAGTGGAGCAGTGTTTGCCAAAGGAGGAGAGGGAAATGTGCAAGTAAAGATAGATATAATTTCAACATACAGTGAGTTAGAGAGCTCATTTTTTCCTATTTTTCCCATTTTCCCAATGATGAATTCATTTTTAGAAGAGAAGACACTAACCTGCACATTTCTTGATTTTGCAGAGGGAGTGACTGACAGGGGGGAGCTGTACATGGGGGCAGAGCATGAGCTACACCAGAGCCCCACTGCTCAATATTCATTTCTCAAGTTTGTGGTTGAAATACTCTAATAGATATCTTAGTGACATCCTCTTCCGAGAAACAGTCCAGGGCAGTAATTCTGACAGGACAAGTCAGCTGTAATGAATCTCTTTCCTCAGCGCAGATGGGGCCTCGCTTTACTCACATGCATGGCTCCTTCCACTTCCTAAGACTACATGGAGACAAGAGAAAGTAGCTCTGGCCTCTTATCTTACCTGCCTTAAACAATATAGTGGAAATCAATACATGAACTTCATTTTCTTTAAATATGCAATTACATGGAATAGATTACAGAAGTGACAAAACCCAGAACAACTCCACAAACACAGAGCTGGGCTCTGATTTCTATCAATACAAGATGAAAGTTGTGTAGTTGCTCATTTACAGCTCAAAGCTGCGTTATTTTCCCTAACTCAGGCTATATTGGTAGTCATCTGAACTCTGTAAAGCAGAAATATCAAGCCATCTTGATATTCCTTCCCCAGTAAATAACGATTTACAAAGGAGGGGAGGAAATCTCCCTTCCCCTCCCTCTTTCAATTCATTAAGTTCAACTGTGATAACCAGTGAGGCATACAGGAAAGGGTTAGGTATCTCGGCCTCTGAATATTTAATTTAGGACTAAATGTAATGCACAGCATCCTCACTCCCTTGGGAGTTCAGCAGCCAATATGCCAATGAATATATCCTGACAATAGTGATTTTTTCTGCACTTTGGAGGCATGAGTGACATTTGCTCACCACATATGTTGCATCGGATGCTGAGGTCTACACTTGTGAGAAATTAATCAGAATCCATCTGTTTCCTTCTCATCCTGGACAATTTCATTACAACTTAACCAAAGATTATAGGATTCCCATGTCTGTGTCCCCAGCCCCCAGCCCAGTCTTGGTGTTTCCACACTGAACGATTAAAGCTGCTTAGTTTAAGTAAGGTCAGAATCAATCTTCCTTCCTGCTGGGAAAAGCATAATGCTCATGAGTAGGGTCCAAAATCTGCTCTAAATTACATGTAGGTAAATCCAGAATATCCCTACTGAACCATGGGGGTTTAGATTTATCATGGAGAAGGATGCGGACCTTGATCTTTCAATGCATGTTTCTGGTGGCTGATTTTGAACGACTTCAGGCTCAAAATGACATAAAGTCAATTCCTGCAGGTCCTTTGTTATGTTTTCATTTACCTGCCCAGGTGATGAGCAGAGGGATGACTCAACCCTTCTGTGGGGCTGGGAGATACTGTGCCACTGTTGGGAAAAGTGCTCTGTCTTAAAATACTCCCTGTACTTACAGAGACAAGTTCCTTGCTTATCTCTTATTTACCAGTACTTCCTTAATTCAGTTTAATAGCACGGGAGAACTGGACATAAAAATTGCTTGGACTCTGGTCTATAATGCCAAATTTTGCACACTGATGGATGAATATCTTAAAAAGTGGGGCTTTCTGAGAGTTCTTTGGACAAGGCACAAACGGCAGAGAAAACTCCAAAAGCACAGACATCCATAGGAATCTGTTTCCCAATTGCTTGCTGACAGTTGCAGCCAAGCCTGTAAATGTGAGGTTTCTTGAACAACAGAAAAGCCAAAAACATGAACCCAAAAGTGAGGTTTTCATTACTGAAACCACGGACAGAGAGATATGGACTGGGATGGCTGGGAAAGCCCAGTAAAGAGGGAAATGAACTCCAGTGATAAGGAGCAGCTGTAGCACCCAGGGTCTAGATGTCCAGGAGGCAAAACCTGATACAGGGGATCCAGACTGCACACAGGGATGGCAGGGCCCAAAAACTTTCTGCCACTTACCTGTGAGTGCTTTGGCTGCTCAGCCTGTGTACTTTGAGGGTACTTGGAGACACGAGGTTTTCCAGCAGCTTCAGCAGCTCCTCCTTGGAACACCTCTTCCAGTCGTGACTGGTCCCACGGTGCCACTCGAGGTCGAGATCCTGTGCTGAGAGGTGGTAGAGAGCAGGTGCTGGTCCCTCTGAGCACTGAGCTGCTGGGCAGGAACAGCAGGACCCCAACAGGGTTAATGTGGTTGCCCTAAACTAGGCAAACACCCTCCAGCACTGCAGCTTCCTGGGCACCAACCCCAAAACCTGAGCGTGCTGGCAGCAGGAGAGGAAGGAGACAAGCAAGCAAAGCTGTGCAGGGCCGGCCAGGAAAAGCAGCTTTGAAAAACAGCTTGTGGCAATGAGACCTCGAGCAAAGAAATTCATCCAGCTGTGGGGAGGTGGAATCTGAAGGCAGATGAGATGTGCAAAGCAAAACACCACTCAGCAGCCTGAGACAGGAACCACACGAAGCCCCCTGACCCCGCTCAGAGCCGAGCTGCCTTCCCCACTTCTCACAGCCATTATTCCAGCTGACTTGCAGATACCCGAAAGTTATTTTTGAAATGAAGGTGCATCCAGATCGGGCTGTCACAGCCTGTCTTTTCAATCAGGAGCTACTTGATCAGATGCTTTTTTTGCTGTAACATAATCACATGATACCAGGGCTTTAAACAGGACCTATATTCCAGCTCCAGTGCTGGATACTTCCTTGCCAGAAAGATATCAACACATTGGAAGATAGCTATAAAAGAAAAGAGAGATCTTGCATAAATTATCTTACGCTATTTATAGACATGGATAGCAGTCTATCCATGGGACCATCTGCTAATCTGTGTCCCATGGCAATTAAAGTCAACATTTCACCATATCTTCTCCATCAAGGGCTGAGATTATGCACTGAACTCTTTTTTTGTGCAACACCAACCTTACATCTGTGCTGTTTAGCATCTCTTTCCAACTTTCCATACCACTTCCCATATCCACTCTGTGAGTGTCTGCTACAAGAAAGGAAAAACTCAAGTGAATTATTTGTATTAATATGTAGTAAAAGGGCTAGTAGGTGACAAAGGCTATATTTAATTTGTTGGTTCACAAGAATTTCTCTGTTTCAATAAAAAGAAAACAGACATTATGCACTAAATTAATGGATTTATATATTTGATACAAAGTGATCTTCATATATGTTAGTCTTTTCAGTGCTCCTTGTTATAAATAAACCACATAGATTTTCAGAAGTGACTTATGATTTTAGACACTATGTTTTTAATCATCCAACCCAGTATGCTTCCAAAAATTGTCCAAAACCTGTGAGAAGACCTCTCACAATCTCATTTTCTTCAAGGAAAGCTGGAAACCTAAAATAAATGGCATCCAAACATTTTGTTTTAGAAAACACATAAAGACAAAACCCAACTGTGCTTAATGTATAGTTTGTCCATATTATAGATATAGAGAATTTTCTGAAGTAACTTAAAGGCTTGAGTCCTACTGCCTTGTTCTGCATCTTTTTATACACAACACATTTTTATTACTCCATGTAATTTTAATAATTTATACTGGCACCATCACTTTAGCAATTGCATTCACTACATTTAGCAACAGGAGTTACTACAAAAGCAAGAAAGAAAATACAGAAGATTCGATTAGCAGGAAGATTTGCAGAAAGGTAACCGTGCAGCAGGGTTCCTGCTCAGGCAAAAGATATTATTTTACAGAAATAATTACAGAAATACATGTTTCATGGACACTAATACATTTGGTTAATTAAAAAAAAAAAAAAAGGCTTTCTTGGCTAGTGAGTTGACCAGTTACACAAATAAGAACTCAAGCAATTCTTCACCTTTGTCACAGCTGATACTACAAAAAGCTTCTTTTCTTCCAGCTGTGTTGGGATGTGTGTGTGAGAGAAAGAAATGGAGATGTTAAGCAGTGATACAACCAAACATTATCCCATTGTTGGTCTGAAACTTACTGCAGTCACAAGACAATTAGAAGTTATGTGAGCACAGAGCTTTCCACAATTTATGCTGCCTGAGCTGCTCTGTGTGGGAATGATCACGTCCCAGACCTCCCACTCCCCTCCCTCTGGTTTTCCTTTCCATCAAAGGATACAAAAACTCTGAGAATGAAGAGGCTTCACATCCATGACTGTCTTCCCACAGGTCCAAACTCTCTGCTAAAAACCTAAAGGTTATTATTCAAAGTCCTAGAGGAGAAAAATCGGTGTAATGCCTTTCCTCAGCATCTAAAAAGACATAACAGACCATTACTGACTACGGATATAAGATACACAGAGTATACCAGGGCATAGATGTAAGTATTTGTGGAGAGGTTTTAAAGCCATTGTTGTCCATTTTTGCACATTAAAACCCACAAAGAGTTTTATTTAGAGCACTAAATACTTTCATTTCTCTCTGGCTGGATTTTTGGCTATTAAAATATTCATCATGCACTCCAAGAATCTTGATGCCAAGTATTTATTTTATTTTTTATAACCTTTTAAATAGTTTCTTTAAAATACCTTCAGGTGTACACATTGCTCTTTAAAAAACACTGAAATAAGAATTTATTTTAAAACAGCGAGAAATGAGGCATCAGGAGCTGCTGAGACCTCAGTACAACAAAGGGGTGGATTCCACAAAATTCGGTGCTAAGGGGAGACAGAAGGGGTATTTTTTCAAAGTTGAAAGTTTCCAATGTGAAAATTCTTCAGGTTTCACATAAGAAGATGTAATTTTCTGTTGCCAAATAGCGGGAGGGGTGGGGGGAAGTCTTCTACAAAAGGGATATTTGCGTCAAAACCTCCCATCTGGATTTCCTTTCAGATGGACAATATTTTTTGTGAGGCAGGTGGCTGGCACTGAGAAAAATCACTATTTTCTGTTTGAAAATTTCCCTCTCTTTTGCCTAACAGGAAACCCCTGGCCCTGAAATGATACTTGCAGGCAGGGGGCTGACATGGCAGTGGTGCTGCTGCTCTCCCTGCAATACCAGATCCGTGCCTCCCACTTCCTAACACAGCCAAATGGGGAGCTGCTCCCAGCTCCTGCTCCAGGCAGCCTGGGGTAGTCAGTGTGGAGCAGCCCAGGCTGTGCTTGTCAGAGACAATGACAGAGCTGCCCTTCCTGAGGTGAATATTGACTCTTGTTGCCCAGAAGAGCAGTGGATGCCCCATCCCTTGATGTTCAAGGCCAGGCTGGAGGGGGCTCTGAGCAACCTGGTCTAGTGGAAGGCGATCCTGCCCATGGCAGGGTGGGTTGGAACAAGATGGAACAACCCAAACCATTCAGCGATTCTACAATTCATTCTCTGATTCTATGACTGTCGTGCAGTGATGCACAGGGTGTGCCCCTGCAGCCTGCTGGCCCTGCACACTTGGCACAGGGGCAGGAGGGGTCACGTGCCAGCAACGGGGATCTCCTATCCGCAGTGATGGGATCTCCTACCCACAGGGGTGGGATGAAGGGCACGGATGCTGCAGCACCATCAGTGGTAGCAGCTGGGCCTGTAGCTCACAAGCTCATCTCAGCACTCTTTCCTGGTCAAAAGATCAGCAGCGCCACAGAGGCTCAGCCCACCTTGTCCTGTAGCTTTTGGGATGGTGGCAAATCAGGCACATTCTGTCTGGGAAGATGCCTTGGATGGAGCCTCTGACAGAGACCATAGCCAGGGCTGGCTCAGACGCCTTCACACCCTGGGACGTGCTGCTCCTCACCCTGCAGCCTCCTCAGCTAGAGATGCTGAATGTGATCAAATGCAATTTGGCAGCTGTGAAGCTCAGTTACAAACTGCCTGGGAAGAGATTACCTTCGGCTTCCAGAACATTTCTTTTAATCTGAAGAGAAGCAGACACCTCCCCTCTCCTCCCCATGAAGCCTCTGCTTTATGCATGGAGTCAACCTCATTCTCAACACCACATTTTGAACCATTATGTTCCCCTCTATATTCCCACATGGGATTTAATTTCTTCCGTGTGGGGAAAAAAAAGATATTTTAACTGTCCTTCCTTCTGTTTCTTCTCACAGAGAAAGGAGTCAAAGGGTGAGATGCAAACCTGAAAAATTATACCACACTTTTACCGACTGCTTTGGTATCTCCTCCAACACCACTGTGTCCACCAGGGCTCCTCAGAGGACATGGGTATGTTGCATCTTCAGGTGATTTCTTACAGAATTTGTGCCATTGCTTCTCTTTCCAAAGGGCTTTCATTCTGCATCTATATAAATATAGAAAGCAGAAGATAATGTTTACCACCTGTATTCTCTAAGGAGCAAGGGATGTGCTCGTACATAGTTATTCCACCTGTCTTGTTTTCTCTCACAGACACCAAGATTAATGAAAAAAGGCAAGTAAGACTGCATTTGTAGACACTGACTACATGATTACTGAACACAGAGCTTAACACTGAACGTCTGGGTCATTTAAAAGGTGACATGCATTTGTGAGGAAACACATTTAGTTTATTTATGGACGAGAGAGGGACACAGTGGATCCACTACATCATAGGCTTCCCAAGAAAAACGCTCCAGTCAAGGCAGAGTAAGTGAAAACATCCCACAACTGGGGAGGAAGATTATTCTTTTTCAACAAATTGTTGGTTCTCTGACATATTAGCTTAATGGATTAAATAACTTTTACTCCAACATGACCTCCTATTTCCACAAACAAGTCTCTTACCTTTACCACATTTATTTCCCACAAACTCTTTGATTTTCATTTAGTGTCTACCTAAAAGGCTAAGGACCCAGGCACTCCACTCAGTTGCACTGACATTATCTTTTAATTAGCAGAGGTCACTTAATGCTTTTAGTACAATCAACAGTTGCTTTCTTTCCTTGATCAACTACAAGAGCATCACGGTTAATGCAGACTGATTAAAACCTGAAAATCCTTTAGCATAGAAGTATCTCAGGACAAGTATAATCAAGCTATTGCACATAGACCATTTTCCTTGACAGCTTTGATTCCAGCACCACCAGGAAGAACAATCCAGCACCTGTGGGTAAATGGCTTCTCTTTCACTGTGGGTCTCACCAGAGACCTGCAAAAGCCATGGGTGAAATTAATCCCCAGGGCCACCTCCAGCTGCATGTGTTTGACATCCATGGAGTGTTTCCAAAACCTTGCCTCAGAAGAGGGAAAACTAAAATTAGGTCTCACATGTGATTGATAAGTGATAAACAAAGTTCACACTGGAGAGATTTACACAGCTCCCTGCTCGGCATTGCAGCTGAAAGCACATATAAAAAATTGGGACTCATCATTTAAAGTCTTGCAAGTATAAATCAGTCTCCTCACACTTAGATGAAGCTGGGATCCTTGCCTGATTTCAGCAGAGAAAGACCTATTGGGTGTTTGGTAGGGAAAGACTTGTCTGAAGTGAACAAGTTTTTTGGGGATAGGGACTATGTTCAGTTCAAGACAGTGGCAAATCTTCTACTTCAGAGTCACCTGCCCTGTTAAGAGACAGATTTAAAAGCTAGAGGCAAACAGACTGGGCTACTGTCTCCAATGCCTAATAGTATAGTTAATCCTTATCCTTTTGACCCATACACAAAGAAAATTATTCCAGGAAACCAATGGTAACCACTCCTTTATAATCTCTGTATTATATCTACTACAGAGGTTGCAAAGTCAGTAAAATGAGAAGAGCTCTTACCATGCCTGTTATAAATTAACAAAGGCTTTTAATCTTGGTAACTTTTTATTGCTAGACAAGGAGCATATGGCAGAAAACATACAACAAACAACGAAACCAGGATGAACCAGACCAAAAAAAAAAAAAAATAGAGCAAGCATGTCCTTTTAAAAAACAATTATCTAGAGCTCCCTTGGAATGGCCATATACATCCCCAGCCCAGCCGCTTTCATCTCCTCCGCTGCATTTAGGTTATGAAAGGATTTAGTCTCCCAAGAAAAGAATTTGAGACACAAGGAAGGCAGGGCAATTTTAAATTAAACAGCATGACTATGGTAACATCTGCAATAGATTGGATGCCCTAAACACAGTGCAGGAGAGATCTGTTGCCTTATCTACGGTTTGGTAAATAATTTCTCCTACCTCAAGGGTCATTACATCTTCAGCTCTTTCTGTCATTTGTGATTCCACTGAGAGGCTGAAGAATAAAGTCTCTACAGGTGCTTATGGTGCAAGTGAGCAGCTATAAATAACATCCCAGCGTTCGGCTGCGCGGGATATAAAAACCTCATTCGCTTCCTGACGTCCCTTCATTAGACACCAACTTTCAGCCCTACAGATCTCAGCATCTCCTGACATCAAATTTGGCAAGTGGTCACTAAGCAGAAATATGAGCCATTAGGGAAAAGGTTTTCTTTCACCCCACGTCCCCAAAGCTCCACAGTGCTCTCCTGAGAGAAATGGGATCTGGGATGGGGGGAAATCCTGCCAAGTGGCACATTCCCAAACTGGTGATTCAGCACAAAAACCTTCCTCTTCAGTCCTAGAGTCTGAACCCATTAGGTGGGGGATAACATCCCACGAGAAGGGAGCAGATCCCCAGTGTGGGGATGCACTCACATCTCTCCCCAGCTGCTGCCAGCTGCTGCCAGCACGAAATTCCCTCAGAACCACCCTGAGCTGCCCTGGAATGGGGCAGCTACAGCTCCATTGCAGGCTGAGGTGTGTGAAAATAACCCCCTCAGTCTGTGGCTGGAGACTGTTTCTATTACTGGGGATGAGATTTAAGACTGGGGCTGGTGCAGCAGCACCTCCCTGCTGGTCCCCAGGGAGACACGGGCTCAGCACTGCCTGTGGAAGGTACCGGCACAAAGAGGAGCTCAAGTACGAGGGCTGTGAGGGAAGCTCATTGTATGGGTGCTGGTTTTTCGATAGTGTCAAAAATTCTCTTAATTAAAGAGAAGAGGGAAAATCAAAATTTCATGTACCAGGTATTAAAACTAAAAGAGCAGAGGAGAAGGTGAAGGGGCACTTAGATCAGGCAGGCAGAGCTAGACACGTAAGCGATGCACACAGGACCTCATGGGACAAGGTTAGGACAGAAGTGACAGCTGGTCTGAAGAAATAGCATTTTAAGATCCAAAACCCTGTCAGGAAAACCCAACCGCGCGGCTGATAGAGAAGTTCAATAAAAAATGGGCAGGCAGGAAGAGGACACAAGGTACATAAATACATGCTTATTCAATAAAGCAAGAAATGGAACAGCAAAATTGAGCAAACAAGGCTGCCCGGTGGCAGGAGACAGCCTGATTTATTTGCCTTGCTGAAACACGGCAGCGTGGAAAACACAGCGGGGAAACTGTGTTGTCTCGGTAGGAATTATTCAGCAAAGGAGGGTTTAGGTCATGGCTGGAGCACCACAAAGAGCCTCTGGAAGCCAAGTTTCCACAGGAAGAAAAATCACACCGACGATGCATAATTGATGCAGACGTACCAGGAGCGTTGAATGCTCTGGGGACGGAGAGGAAAATTATTTAAAACAAAAAGAAAAATCAACAAACAGTTAATAATAAAGCAGTAGTGACTTCTAATTACCTGTACGCAACTGATTACAGCCCATGCCACAGTGACAAGCTGTTTCTTAGCAACTCAGAGGCGGCTTTTGGAAGGGCTCCTTCCAGGGAGGGAAGCTCCCATCTCCAGAGGAACAAAGTCCAGCAGTAAACTCTGCCTAGACCATCTGGTTTTAGGGGCTGTGGGGCATTGTAGTGAAGTATTTTATCTCCTATAGGAAGAGAGCACACACCAAAAAAAAAAAGCCCACAACTATTTGGGAACATGGACAGGAATCAAGCAGTCCTGTAAAGGAGGATATTCAAACCCTGGACTTGGCATGGGGGACACCCAGGAGTTTCTGGTAGAAGGGAGGTGCAGAATCTCCTGAGTCAGCAGCACAGGGGAAAGCAGACTCTCAGGGTCAGATGGCTTCACCCAAAAGCTCTGCAAGGAGAGAGCAATTGAGCCTCTAGCACGGAGATCCCTTCCCATTCACATCAGGTGTCCCCCTTCTTTAGGAAATGCTCAAGACAAATCCATTTCCCCGTCACGACTTTTTTTAACTCACTGAGGAAGTCGATTATTTTGAGAAGTCAGTAAGTTACCTCGGTGAACAACATATTTCTGTAGAGAAAACTGCACCTTTCCACATACAGATCTGAAAAATAATAAGGGAAACACATATTAATCATATGATATTTGAAAACTTCTCAGGAAAAGGCACTGCTAAGGGTTTGTTGATGAGCTGAAGTGTCCAGGAGAGAGGGAATATTTCCATGGCTCAAGAATTGGTTAAGATACAGGCGTAGGTGGTTAATTTTTAAGAGGATCAAAGAACTGCATCACCATTGATGTTTAATAAATTAATGAGCTGGAAAAGCACACAAAGAATAAATGTCAAATACCAGAGAGAAGCTAGGAAAACTCCAGGGGCTCAGGAAATCTGCATGAGCAGACACACAGAAAAATAAACACACCCAGAGCACGATGCAGCCCTACTGCATAGACATGAGGATTTAAATTCACTGGAAATTGTTTCCAATAATAATTAATAGTGAAAAAGAACAAAATTAACTGGAGCTGCCTACAACAGCCCTGCCAAAACTTTTCTCTGTGGAGTGCTGGCTGGGAGAGTGGCTGGAAGGAGCAGTGTTCCCATGTTCAGTGACATCAGACCCCACCTCTGACACAACCTCAGTGCCACTGAAATCCCAGGAGGGGCGAGTTGTGGATTTCAGTGAGGGCCCCATCTGAGTCCTATATCTCAGACTGATGGCAAAAATTCAAAGCATAACCAAAAAAAAACCACCAAAAAGAAGTAGTCTGGGCCTGATTAACTCCCAGAGTAACTGAATATACTGGATGTAAATTGACACTTTCCTCCAGGGAGAGAAACTTGAGATGTCTTCTTCATAAAGAGGAAAAGGAAACAAAATTTTTAAAATCAAGAATGTAGATGGCCAGAATTTAAAAAGTGATGGAAAGATAAGCTGGGGGACAAAAAAAGTTGCATGAAACGTGCTGTAATTGCCTCACAACAAGTCAATGTCCAGTAAGACTTTACCCATGGTGGGATTTGCACGAGGATCTACACAGGATCCCCAGTCTCATTCCTTTTTACCCTTCCTCATCTAAATGTTCCAAGTATAAAATTTGATAAGCAGGTCGCTGTACTGCTGCATTCAGGAGTAACCTTTCTCACACAGCAGTGCTCTGACGTGCATTGCAATGCAAATATTCTCATGAAAGATGCTTTAATAAACCGCTCTATTAAAAATAATCTGCCAGCAGAGGAGTATCGACTGTGCAAATATGATATTGGAGAGCTGGGAGAAAGTAAATATGAGAACAAGTAAACGTTATTTGGTCAGGAGGGGGCAAACCCCAAAAGCCCTAGAAATAAGTAAAATTGTTTATTTGTTTAAAACATAAGGCAAAAATATTTAGCCACGTGCTGAGTCAGTGGGATCTGGGAGGTCCTCAGCCAAGTCCCTTCTGCTAAGAACAAGCTCCTGCCAGGCAAACAGGGATTGTGCTTCCTCCTGTTGTCCCCAAAGTGACAACAATATCCTCAACTGATGTTACTGCACAAAGCTAATATTAAATGCTCTCAAATATGATTAACAGAATGCAACTTACATTAAATGACCAGAAAGCTGTCAGTTTTGGTTTTCAGTCCTAGGCTTTCTCATGAGTTCCTAACTCAAAAGGAAAACATTGTGGCTATTAAATAAGCAAAGATTGATTTATTACACAACATTCAGAAATGTTTTCTTTGAAGCATTAACAGGATTTTTAAATGCATTAACAGGTCAAATAGTTCCAACTTTTTCTTTGGTTGGAATGTTAAAAACACTCAATTGACAATATCCAGGGCAGTTTTGCAAGGGCATAAGCAGGAGATTTGGAGCAGTTGTGTTCCTCTTAATTTACTTAACCTTTTTTTTGTTGTTGTTAAATTAAGAGGTTTAATATTCTGCATTGAACCAACTATCCCATTCGCTTTTGTTAGGGAAAAGCAGGGCTAGGACCATGACACCTTCCGGACTCCCCGTTCCCGGATGCAGACCCGCCTCGCAGACGCTGCACATGGAATCTGGGGGGGGTGGAATGGCACATCTGGCAGAGGTCCAAGCACCATACCCAGGGAGCAAACAGACTGCTGCAAGAATTCCAATCAAAGCATCGCTCAGGCTTCGCAATGTGCAGACACGTTTCTCAGCCACAAATGCTCCTGTTGACAGTTACCCAACTTTGTAATTAATGACAGGGAATACTTTGTGCTCCAGGTGCAGTTCCACCGAAGGGATCCCCTGCATCTCACCCACGCTAACTCAGCTGCTGCTGCAGGAGGGGCTGTGACGGCGAAATGGATTTTCATGGAGTCCCGGGAGTGGGACTCCAGGTCCCAGCAGGAGCAGGGGTTCCATCCAGCCGTCTGGGTGCTGAGAGCTGCAGTGTCCCGTTCTCTAAAGTGCCACTGAGCCACTTTCTCTCTCAGAAGAGCTCCCAGGCTTCAAAGCAACAACACACATTCAAGCATCACTTCAGCACATATTCGAGTGCTTTGCTGGAGCTGCAGCGCTCGAGCTCTGGCTGCCCAATTCCTTTTGCTGCCAAGCCCTCTGCTCCTCACCAAGCAGGAGAGCTGGTGTGGGCACAGGAGGCAAGGGCTGGGGGATCAGCATCCCACCCACCCTGCCCCTTCCCTGCTGGATAGCCACTGACACGGATACACAAATAACTGGTAACATTAAGGCACTGGGGAGGAGGGTATTTTGTAAAGCAGAACGCAGGCTGCTTAAATAATGAATTAAGAGGCATCAAAAATGCGTATGTAAAAGGACAGAGGGGGAAGGTTTGATATTTTAGACTATGCTAGACCACAATGAATAAATTATAAGAAAGGCTGAATACTTTACTAAGTATAAAGATGTCTAGCAAAAGAAAAGTTCTTACTCTTCTCATCCCCCACTGGGTCCCAAATGATGACAGAGCTGAGAGGGCTCAGCTGGTCTGTGAGGGTTTTTTTCCATGTACATTTTCATCTGGACTGAGGCATTTTTATTTAACAGCATCCACCCCGTCTTTAAGCCTTTCACACCAGAGACAGCCTCGCTTATTTTTCTGACGCCGCTGAAGTTCTCCCAGTCATAACAAACTAAGAACACCCAGTCAGTTTGACAAAGATGAAGTGATAGGTAGGAGGCACATTTCATTACGCTATCAAGGCTCTGGCGCGGTAATTGGTGAGGAAACAATTCGGAGCTGTCAGCTCGGCACACACGCCTTTGTGCTGATGGATGCTCAGAGTCCTTGATGGGGTATTGAATGATGTCCAATGTGGTCACCACTGCCCTCTTACTGGTGCCAGGATCCTCACAGAGCCCTGACCAGAGTGACCATCCCTCCTCACCCCGGGCACAGCCGCCTCCTGCACGTCCCAAGCACTAGGGCAGGTTACCACACCTGACACATCACCATGATGAGCATTTTAATTACCTCCAAGATGCAAAAAAATCAAATGCCAAACAGGGATAACACCTGCTGTGGTCTCCACCAGAGCTGCCCACACTTCACTGAGTGTTCAGGATCTGTCCAAGTTCCTCACCTGACACAGATCTGTGGAGAATGGCAGAGAGATGCCAAGTTGTACCACTTGGTTATTGACCTTCACTGTCCTCACCCTGAACCACTGAAAGCAAAATGATAGTTCTGAGGTTTCTTCACACATGGGGACACCAAAGAGCCCTGATTCAACCCAATTCAACCATCAAAGCTGAGGATGGATGTATTGCTCTTGCATCACATCTGCCCTCCTTCAGTGATTCCATCATATTGCAAAACTCACCTGCTTTCCACCCTTCTTGCACGACAGTTCAAACAATTACTACCCTATATTAACATTTAAAGCTTATTTTTAGTTTGCTCAGCTGTTGAAAGCTGTGGATCAGATGTGAGGCAGGGTAATCATCTCCACTGGCTTTAACCAATGTGCCAGACACCACAGCCCTCCCTGAGTCTGCTCAAAGCTTTCCAAACCTGCAAAGTCAATCAACACCCTTTTTAGAGACCAACTGTGGAATTAGCTTGGAAAGGGGGAAATATATAAAACCAACCTATTTTACTTTAAAAAACAAATGTCCTCATGGTAATTGCTTTTTTTTTTTTATAAACAGAATAACAACTCCACCATTTTCCAGTATTTTCTAACTGTTTTCCAAGTGTCAGTGGTTTATATTTTCACGACACCAGGTGCATATGCACACACACACACCCCCACAGTGCACTACATGGGACAAGTAATTAGGCAGAGGAAGGTGCAGGATATATGGCATGCCTGGGTAATGTGCTGCCTAAGTGGAAATCAAGATTTTGCAGCAAAACAGGAATTTCATTAACTACTAAACAGTGACAATTCACTAAAAAGTGTTTTTAGAACAAAATGAGAAGCAGCTTTTTGCAACAAAAGATTAACTGAAAATTTTTACTGAACTGAAAAATAAACTGAAATTATTTTCCAACACCAATTAAGTTGCTTAAAGAAAACCTGGAGAAAAATATACCAATATTACAGCATCTGAATCATCCTGGGCTAAAAGCTAAAATCTCCCTGGATTAATTTCTTTTGCAGGTATTTCCTTCTGCAAACAGGAAGGTGGAAAACAAAATCGTGACTGCAGGAGCAGTTGCTTAGTTGTGCTCCTCTGTGAGCGGCTTCTGCATCTGAAATGAGATTCCCCTCGAACGTTGGAAAGGGCTCTAGTGACACCTACTGCACTCTGCCACAATAGGTAGGGAACGCTCGCCTGCCTTACCTGGAAATCGGGTGTCCCTCCGAGAGGCAAAAGGCATTTCCAGTCTGCAGAGACCCCTGGGACCAGCAGGACACCGGGCTGTCACCTCCCAGCAGGGTACTGGGTGCCAGCGGGCTCTCCTGAAGGATTCGCTGGCACAGCCACGGCACTGCCAAGGGAGCACGTGAGCACAGAAAGCAAATTTCAAGTGCTGACCTGGCGTTAACCAGCATGGAACCAGAGAATTATTTAGGTTAGAAAAGGCCTTTTAGGTCACTGAGTCCAACCATTAACCCAGCACTGCCAAGGCCACCACTAAAACGTCTCCAAGTGTCACATCTACGCATCTTTTAAATACCCCCAGGGATGGTGACTCCACTCCTGAGCAGGCTGTGCCAGTGCTTGACAACTATTTAGGTGAAGAAATTTTCCCTAATATCCAATATAAACCTCTTCTGCTGCAACTTGAGGCCATTTCCTCTCATCCTGGGAGCAGAGCCTGACTCCCACCTGGCTCCCCTCTCCCATCGGGGAGTTGCTGAAAGCCAGAAGGTCCCCCCTGAGCCCCCTTTTCCCCAGGCTGTACCAGTGATGTCTGGTTTGGTAAGAGTTCATTTTTTCCCATATGTTGTCTTTACTGAGAGAATTTTGTATTCAACAGCAACATTATTATCAGGACAAACTGGAAAATAACGGATGCATGCTGAACTTTTGCTTTTCAAATCACGATTGAACGTCATCTTTTCTTCAGTGTTCAACAAATCCGACACTCAAAGACCTGGCAACCAGAATTAATATTCCTGACACTGCTTTGTTCCCAAGTGATGGGGGAGCTGAGCTCCAGACAATTGATTTGTCACCCACTACTCAAAAGCTTTATAGACTTTATGTACTACATTAATAAACACTTTTCTAAGGGCCCAAGCCAGATCTGATTTAAAAAAATACCCAAGGTAAAGAACAATGCCACTGTAGAAGTTATACATATTCAAAATAAATTTATTCTCTGTAACAGTATCATTTTTCCTTTTTTGCTACTTCTCCTTTTTGATTTGCCATGGAATGATTGGAAGGGGAAGGGAAACCAAGAAAACATAAATGAAATTAAGATACAGTTTGCAATTTTTATTTTTGAGTTTTATTCACTTATCCAGAAGACAATGGTAATAACTGAAATAGTTAATATTATGTATATTTATATTTTATTTATATATAAAGGTTATTTTGTATTTATATTATATTTTTATATTATAAAAATACTTCACTTTTCTAAGAGAGGACAACAGCCAATTAAACTATAGATCTGTGAACGTGCTGTCAGCTCTATCCAACTGTGGCAACCACCCCTGGCCAGAACAAGAATTCATGAATGAACACCAAAAAGACCAGCTTCTGTGACCATTTCAGGGCCAAAGCTGGAGAGTATTTAATAGCAGTTCATTTATTTCAGACAAGAAGCCCAGTCCATGAGAAATGTGTGTTCAGAGAGAGTAAGAGCGCAACTTAAGGCAAACACTGCAAATTGAAACAATTACTCAATGTTGAAATCAAACATTTTACCCTTCTGAGCACACAGAAAGCTCTCAAGGAGAATGTTTCCTTCCGTTTTTCTCCTTAAAAAAATACAAGATTAAGAAACATTCTAAACCCTGAGTTATCTCATTAATGGTACTGCTAAGATTAACAGCAAAAATTAAATAATTCTACTATTATTTAACTGCTTTTAAAAATTTATTACTTTAATATTTATAATTGTACTCTTAAGATTAATAATCCTGATTTGCCACCTTCCCACGACAAACCATTTCTCACACTTACCCAACTTCTGCAGAACTTCCCAAAGAAAAAACCTGAAATTACACCTTGAAGCCTTCTGAAGTAAAAAGGAAAGACACCACATGCATCCATAAATTATTTTTTATTTCAAATCCAGCCCCCAGTTTACACTGTACACGAGACACAGGCAATCCCATAAGTGTTCAGGATTGGCAACATTATGTGAAGTCCCAAAATGAAACTCATCACACCAATGTGCCAGTTAAAAACAGACTCCAAACTTGGATAAACTGGAGAGAGCAAAACAAACAAACAAAAATCAGAAATAGCAAGGAACAAGATTTCCATAGTCTGTTAGGAAAACATAATCCAGAGCTATATCCTGCCTAAAGAACAAGAGGCCCAAAAGCCTCATGGATTCCTTCAAATTCCAGCTTCCAGACAGAGATGGCCCAGACCCTCTGGAAGAAAGCCACAGATCTTTGCTGTTGTCCAAACTCTCTCAGGATTTATTGGCAAAACCCCATTAATCCAACCAAGCCTGTTCTGCTGCCAAGAAAATTTTGTGACTATTTGTAAAGTTAATCAACAAAACCAGTATTTTCATCCCAGCAATATTAGGACATAAAGGCTGAATAATGTCCTGGCCATCAACTGTTGATGCTGCACTCAAATTTGCTGAAACTGGTGAACGTTGGCAGGATATTTTGCCCTTGGATTAAGTCCCTGTAGCCTCTCCTCCATGCATATGTTCAACCATTTGTTTTAGTGATCACTTGAAAGAGCAGCTCCTCATTAGCTGCTTCTGCACAGACTCAAGCACATGCCTGCACTCACACACTGCCTTCAGCAGCATCACCTGCACCATTAAACATATACAAATACTTTCACAAACCAGTCTTCAAATGCCATCAGTGCAGGATGGCAGCATTACCTCTAAATGATCCCCAGATGAAGAGATCCGAGTATCACTTTGGATCTCAGAATATCAGGCTGTCATGGAGGAGAAAGCAAAGACACATGACTCCAGGCAATTAATAATATTTAAAACATTTGCCCCTAAAACCTGGCAAACTATGACAACAATTTTTTTTTTAATTAAAAAGCTTTTTATTAAAAAACTCGCATGTGCATTTCATAATTAAATGTCTTCTTTATTTTGACTTGGTTTCATTCAAACCCAAGCATTTTATCAACTTAAGTTTCATGCATTTTTTTTCCTTTAAAAATCCCACAAGGTAAAAAACCCACACAGACACAAATACAGGAAATTGTATTTCTCGAGGGCTTTTTTCTTTTTTTCCTTACGTCAAAAAGTGCAATTTTGCTTCTATGGTTCTTTAAAGTGAAACAGTTTTCTCCCTCAGTAAAACAACACACTACAGGAAGAATTGCACCAGATACACAAGATATACAAAGATCTCAGCTCTATCCAGCTTTCCCTATGCACTGCTTAAGGTCATGAGAGATCTATATGGAAATTGTGCTTACAGGAACCCATCCCTCCCAGTACAGCCAGGTCAGTAAATGCACCTACACTCTGTGGAATTGCCTACAACTGCTGGAGAAGGGAAGTCAATAACATCTACAATTAGACCAGTGAAATGTTTACATTCACTGGAACTCTCCTGCTTTTCCATACAAATGTGTGCTCTGCCTCGTGCCACCGGCACTGCATGGCTGAACTGCAAGTCTAGCATGGGAACACATTCCCCAAAAAAATCTATAATTTAACATAGAACTCTGTTTTTTATCTCACTGGACTTGATTCTTTCACACATCCTTCTGGCCCCACTTAAGAGAACACGACTACTCGCTTTTTTTTTCCCATCAGCACAAACATGTCAGCCCTGGTCGGGGGGGGGAATTTCATAAAGAACTCAGCTTTGGCTTAGTATTTCCTTCACTGGAAACAGTGAACTGTGCTACTGGCTTTGGGAAGGTTTTAAGAAGTTTTCTAAATTGAATCTTCAACATTTTGAGGAAACAAGAATATTAACAATTAGGCTTTTAATGACTCCAAGGTTCCTCATGAATTCCTTTCCTTTCAGCTGCAGCTGAAAGACACTGTACACATCTTACCATTTGTCATAAAAAAATAGAAGTCCATTCCCTTTATCATCCTCAAAAAGACTCAAGTTTTATTCCAATTTGCTCAAGTTTTCCAATGCAACATGCTGGTTTATGTGAAAAAGTAGGAAACACTCAGTTTACCTGAAGCTTTAAGTATTCACTTAGGAAAAGACTGCCCTGCTCTGAGACAGAAGTCTGACTGAACCTACTGACCTGTTATATTTGAGCACTTAAAACTAAAGTGAGAGGAATCAAAGCTTATATTTAAATGTAAAAACAAAAGACTGTGCTCTCTAACGTGAAAATGTTTCTAAACTTAAAATAGGGAGTTGCCAGAGTCTCTTGACACTGTATCTACCCCAGAAAACCTTACATGAAATGGATGGACATATCTTTGTATAAAGATGAGTATTTCAGAATATGGAATGCAAAGATACAGTGCAAAAACCAAGAGAGTCCTGAAAAACAGAGGTATGATGCTAAGGAGTGGTCTGACAAATTAAAGATGGGTTATTTCCCTCGTAGAAGTTTACACATTTCACAACAGCACTTTGCTTCCTGTTGTTACAGTATTTTTATGGAGCATTATGAGGATGGATAAGGAGCTGGCTGTGTGGCTGTGCTCAGTTGTGGTCAATGACTTGATGTCCAGAAGGAGATCAGTGACCTGCTGGAGCGAGTCCAGAGGAGGAACACGCAGATGATCTGAGGGCTGGAGCCCCCCTGCTCTGGAGACAGGCTGGGAGAGCTGGGGGCATCCAGCCCAGAGAAGAAAAAGCTCTGGGGAGACCTTAGAGCTCCTTCCAGTGCCTAAAGGGGCTACAAAAAAGCTGGAGAGGGACTTTGGACAAGGGTGTGGAGTGACAGGACAAGGGGGAATGGCTTTGAAATGAAAGAGAGCAGGTTTAGATTAAATACAAGGAAAAAATTCTTCCCTGTGAGGGTGGTGAGGCCCTGGCACAGGTTACCCAGAGAAGCTGTGGCTGCCCCATCCCTGGAAGTGTTCAAGGCCAGGTTGGATGGGGCTCTGAGCAACTTGGTCTAGTGGAAGGTGTCCCTGCCCATGGGAGGGGGTTGGAACTGGATGATCTTTAAGGTCCCTTCCAACCCAGGCCATTCCGTGATTATTTAAAAACAGTATTTCAGTCAGAAATCTAATTTAGAATTCATCATGTTTTACCCTAAACGGCCACTTGGAATGCTGTGAAACATGATTTGCAGCCAGAAGCACCAAGTACATAAATTCTTCCACATCAAAGGAGTAGTTTGTAAATTTTGGATGTTCTCCCAGTGTTGGGTGGTGTCCCTAGAAAAACGAGATAAGGAATTTTAGACAGAAAAAAAAAAAATCAATGCATCTTTATTCAAAAAAGCAAAAAAAAAAAATTGAAAATATGCCATTTCAATTTATTCTTTCTGATCCACTGATCTGCTCTGAGGCAAAAGAATCAGCAAAGTAACTGCAGAACAGCCGTGCTATGGATGGTTTGGATTAATGGCAAATTAATTTAATTTCTCTTCTTCCCTCAGCCATTAACATGAAATAATTTTGTTATCACATCAGGGGAGTTAATTTGGTCTAAAGAATAAAAATCGTATTTCAAAAACCAGAACACAGATAGGTAAAGGAAGATAACCCCAAAATGCTTCAGTTAGAGCACTTCACCCTCCCAGCAGTGACCATCATTACCCGATCCTGAGGGAATACTTTATTCCTTTTCCTCCAAGTGATGTAATGAATCCCTCTCAGCCTTGCCAAATCCAGGTAACAACGCTCATCTTCACAATTGTATCTAAGTACAGGCATAAAAAAACGTGTTTTACCTACACAGATTGAGCTGAAGGATGAAACAGGAAAAAACTCTGCGAGTTGCAATATCTGTTGTTCAGTTCTAAGGCACCAAAACCGTAGACAAATTCTGCTCAACTGAAAACAACTGCCTAGGAGGCAGTTTGAGGAACATCTGCATGTCAGACATGTCCCTGTCCAGCTGCAGCAGCTCTTGGACATGTGAAAAAAACCTCTGGGTTTCTGAACTTTACCTGGAGACTGGACAAAATACTCTCAAGCCAAGACTAGGCTGCCAAACACCAGCTCTGCAGCCTTCCCACAGCAAAACTTCCCAGGATGGAGAATTCAGTGCTCTTCTGACAAGTATTCTCCATTTTTGTTCAGTTCTGTAGAACTGGAGTGTCTGCTAATAATACCCGTACTTCGTGACAAAATACGTTTAAAAGGAAGGTACAAGAGGAATCTCAGCAAAACAGAATGACACAGGGCTGACCTTGGCCAGCACACTGGTGCTCATGTCCTGAGCACAAAAAGGATAAAAAAACCTTCAGGGGATCTCTAGCACCCTTGGACATGCATCTGATGTAATCAATTCACCTGGGTCACCAAAACACCCTTAGATCTCAGACACACCTGCAGGATCTGAGCAGTGAAGTTTTCCCATTGTTTGCCATTTCCCCCAAGAAATTTCTGCATTTTATTTCTGCCATGGTATATTAGGAAATCACAGACTAAACCTGTATGATATAATTACACTATATTTTATAATGAAGGCTTCCTCTCTTTCAATCCCCAGAAGAAGAGGCTGCCAAAAATGAAGTGCAAACAACGACGCAAGGATTCATGGTCAAATACTAGCAAGGGAGAGGTTTCATTAACACATAGGAACAGACATGAGCAGTTGTGTACAACAGAGGGGAAAACCAGACAGACTTACAGCTCAAAAACAACAGCCCAGTCTGGTAGAAAGAGCAAATGGGTCAGTCCAGCTCCGTGCATCCCAATGAATATATCAGAGTTGTGGGTAATTCTCAATTGCTCCGAAAATTCAAGTTCCCTGCAGACAGCACAACACAACTGGTCACATGGCAGGTCTACCCACAGCAGTAAGGATCCCACACATGGAGAAAGCACAAAATTAGCTTAAGGGAATATTGAAAGAGAGAACTGATTTTCAAGGAAGAATACTAAGAATCACAAATGCTGCAGCCAGCAATAACTCAGCATGGAACTCAAAGAAATGCAGGCAGGTTTCAAAACTTCACAAGGATCTCTTTCAAAAACATTTTCTTTCAAGTTAAAGTTTTTGTAAGTTTGGGGTTTTCTTTTTACTTGCCTTTAAAATAAATTGCATCACTTCCTTAAAAACAGAAAACCAAACCAGAAAAAAAAAAAACACCTGAAAATCCAACATTAAAGACTTAAAACTGTTTCTGAACTGTATTCAATGTGATGTTGAAGTACACAAATAAACTTCCTCACATTGTCTCTGTTTTGGTCAGAACACTGATCTCTCACTATTGTTTCAGTTTCCCACTCTTCCTGCATGATCCATGGAAGCACCAGTGAGCCCATGGAGCTGCTGCCATTTGGCACAGGCATGCACTATTTGGGAAACTTTCCTTCAATCCATTTCTTACTGGCACAGTGTCTGCTACACCTGGCACCCCAAACTGACCTCAAGTGGTGTCTCCAGGGGCCACCAGAGCATTAAATAAGGAGAGTTATTATTCCTTACTAAGCTAAGGGTCACATAAAATAAGACTCTGGCATCGTACAAGAGAAATCCCCGCTGACCCACAGTTTCTGCAGAGCATTAGCAAACGTAAAAGGGTGATGGAAACACAGCTGGTTTGGGGAGAAGGGATGAAACAGAAAGAAAACTGATTTCAAAAATTGTTCCTTGTGTAATAGCTTTAATCTGAACCTACTGCTCTAGAGATTCAATCCTAAGCAGAGTATCATAGGATGGGAGGGCTTGACTAGCTCACCCACCACTCCCTCAGTAACACTCTTCCTTCCCAGTCCTTGGATTTTGCACAGGTTGGACAGGGGGACAGACACAGCCCTGCCTGCAAACAGCTTCCCCAGCCACAGGCAGCACACACCAGATTCATCCACCAACTTACGTACTTGTATTTGTAGTCCACCACTTTGACCTCCAATGTTGATACTGTTTTCAAAGCATTCACGAGCTGAGGAGGAGAATAAAAAGACAATGATTTGGTGTTCTCCTTCGATTAATTGCTCCCCTGCACTCCTGAACACTTCAGACACTTCTCCTCCCCACCAGGGAATTGGTAATCAGAAGGATTTTCAAAAATCCATTACTAGGTCAGACTCTTACTGACATGAGGAGTGAAAACAGGTTAGACCTGGGCTTCAGAACTAAAGGGCTTTTGGAGAGCCTCCAATCCACAGCCAGCAGTAGAGGGAGAAAGAGCCAAGCATTTTCTTTTACAGAAGTATGGTAAAAATAAAACTAACTTCTCCCTTTGTCATGTGCACTTGACCAGAACTCACACTACATGCAGCAGTGAGTCATGAACTGAGGACAGCCCAGCAGATAAAGCACAAATCCTTTGTTCTGTCTGTTCTGTCACTGAGCTACTGCATCACACAAACCTCAGTTTCTCCCTAAATAAGGTGGGGATGATAATCCCAATTCATTTTTGTCAGGCACTAAACAGCAGGAATGAAACCAGGTATGAAAATATTAAATATGACCATTCAACCACAAAAGAAGCTACACTGTAAGTCCTGTAACTTGCATGATTTGAAAACATGAATCAATATGAGAATTCATTAAGTTTTGAGTGCACATACTCAAGTACAATGGCTTATGCATTTCAATCTGCAGACATTACAAAGGGTTTTGTTAGACTTCAGCACTGGGGATGCTGTAAATAAAAGAAATAATCTGAAAGCGAAGTAATTTAATTTTATTAGAAGCTCTGCAGTGTCTGTTTGCTGAGAGGAAATACTTCTAGTATTACATTTGTAGTCTCCCATTCAATATTTAGAAAGGGCAGCAAGGTCCAGTGTCTGGTGCACAGAAATGGAGACTGGCTACAAGACATATTAGAAGAAATTAATATAAGCATTGGACATATTTGTCCAAGATTTGTCAGCAAATAGATGTCTTGGCTCTACCCAAAAAAAAAAAAAAAAAAAAAATCCAACGAGCAAAACTTAACTTCTAATAAATCTGTTTTTAAAAATAAAAATAAAAAGGACCACACCTCATTCTGGTTTAATATTTTCCTGTAATCTGTACTGCGTGCAAGTATCGTGACTCGAATTTTCCCATCCTGAGAAGAAAGAAGGAGCAGTGTGTTAGCTGAGAGGCAGACCTCACAAAAACAATCCCAGACACTTCCATATTTACTTTTGGCAAATATTTGAGCAACCAAATATGTTCCTTCCACATGTAATAAACAGATGATGTAACCATCTTAAAATTCACATCCCATTTCCCAACAGATTCAAAGTGTCAAAAACTTTGTGAAAGTCTGATTATTAACCAAGAATGAAATATTTTCTGAAAGGTTTATTTTATTCAGTACAAAAGAGCCTTTGTATTACACATTATATGGCAGTTTTTGAAAGCAGGAAAGCAGCTTTCAGGATGGCTTGTGCACAAGATCCTTGGGAAAAAAATATTTTACTTCTCTAACAGTTCCTCCTTTTGCCTCTTTTAATTAATTGGACTCACAGGGGTAAGTGTTCCAAGTGAAATAAAGAGATTTAACTGCATGACTCCCATTAGTGTCAGCAGGAGAAGCATAACTAAATGCCTGTGCAGAGCTCTGAATGGTGCCCCTCAGCCTCAATACACAGGCTACCCTCTGGAAAATCCTTCAGCCAGCCTTGAACTGCTGTGCCCATCAATGCCACGTGCAAAAACCACCCGTGGGTACAACAGTTCCCTGCCCAGGGCCACACAGATGGTGCTGGGCAAGGATGGAAGGACCAGATTCCATCGTTTCCTCGTCTGATCCGAGCTCAGCAGTACCTATGAGGGTTGATAAAGGGCACTGCTCCAAGGGATCCCTTCTGCTGGACCCAAGGGCAGCACCTCCTCAGAACATGTAACGCACGTATTACTTAACCAGGAAGGACACCAAGGCCTTTGGCAGAGAGAATGGATACAGGGATGAGACCCTTAGAATGTTCTAAAGTCTGTCCTATGGAAAAAAAGACAAAAGGGCAGTTTTCACAAATATATACAAATGTTTGCTGAAGGCCTTTACAGAACAGGTTGACTTACCGGGCAAAAAAATCCCAGGCATCACAGAAAAAGGCAAAAAGTGCACAACACACCCTCATTCCCCACTGGTTCCTATTTCCTAATGCTGTTTCTCTGTTAAGAGCCATGAGCTCCATATTACAATTGCCATTATTCAGTTATCATACCTTGGGTCCTTCTTGTGTAATATTTAACCTGTGTAACACATGCTGAGAAAACGCTCTGAACAGCCCTGTACCGTGACAGCCAGAGATCTGAAATTAAAAAAGCAATTGTTAACATACAGAGTTATTTTGCTCAGAAAACTGTGCTTTGTGATCAGTTTTTTTGCCATTCTTGTGGAACAAAAGCCCAGTATCATGCACTGCACTAAACATGTCACTATTCACTGCAACACAAGTGGCACCTTCATTTAGAAAGAAATATAACTCTCTCTAGTGTTAGAGCCTGAATGCATGAGTTGATACCATTGGGAAAGTCTGACTGTGTTCAAGGTCTTGTGCTCTGCAAAAATACCAGTAAGTTCAGAGTGCCCACCCATTAAAGAAGAACAATATGCATCTCCTGAGCTGTGACAGAGGGGACTGCACACAACCAGCTGAAGAACTTCAACATCCTAATCTTCAGGGGAGATCATTCCATTTGGAGTTGGACCTTCCATGATAACTCAGCTGGATATTGGAGGGATTCATCAGCTCAGATTTCACACTGTCACACACACCTCCAGTTAGCAGTGGATGGCTAAATGGGACTCACCAGTGGAGTGTTGTAGAACAAGCCGTATCGCATCCGAGGCAGCAACGAGAACACCGCTTCTTTAAAGCACACCTGCAAAGGAGATCACAGGGAGTTACACCCCACTGCCACCTTCCACTGCCTCCTTCACTGGGATCCCTGCTTCTAATGAGACAGCAATTACTGCTCCCATCAAGAGCAACCCCACTTCCTTGACTGTGCAAATGAACAGAATAAAGACAATCCTGATCCCAAAAGAGCTCTCACTTGGGACCCTATGGATGCAAGTGTGGGGAGAGGTGAAAAAAAACACCCTGAAACAGAACAAACATGAACTAAATAGAAGTAAGACAGTTAATGAGTTTAAGACTGGATTTAAGATACTAAAATGAGCTGTGAATGAATGGTTACATTTTGTAGTGTAAAATTTTTTAAATGATAAGCAGTAGGTATGCCTGAAGTTACAGGGGAAAAGAAACATCTCAAGAGGAATCAGAAGACTTAGAAAGACAGAACCCTTAACTTCAGTAATGGGTCCCTGCAGAAGGAAACCCCATATATGAATACCACCTCTCAGGACACAAAACTAAGGTCCATCTACATAAAGGAGAGACACACCACAGAATTAGGTTACAGCTCTGACTCTCATTTCTAAGGTAGAATACTCATATTACACAAATTAAACATGCATGGGAGGTATTAATGCTTTAATCTGAAACACCCATAACCACAAGCAGCTTGAGAAGTTGTCATATTTTCTCCCTAGTGACTATGTATTCAAACAATATATAAAATTCCATACCCTTTTAGAATCAAAGGTTTTCAAGTGAATTATTTCGTAGTCAGTAAATGCCTTCCATGTCTCACTGAACAGGTCACCGTAGCCATATGAGCTCTGGGAGGAAAGCAAAAAACACAAGGGCATAATGATTACATAAATGCATATTAGAACCTCTCTTCATGATTTAAGCTCTGTATACGAGTTTTAATACACAATTAATATGTGCAACACCACCACGGTACCCAAAACAGCCTAGCACAGAACACAAACATTACACAACACCAAACTCTCTCTTTACAGTGACAGATAACTCAAATTACCTGTCAGGTAGTTAATTTTTAATAAAAACTTCTATAAATTAGCAATCTAGATGAGTACTTCAGTAGCAGATTAAAATTTCTGAGTCAGGAGAGAGAAGTACCAACTACTTTCCCAGAGACAACAGAAGACAAGTTAAATTTGAAGTAAAAGAAACACAGGGATGGTAGAGGGTGCAAACCTCAATTCCTGAAACTAAAAACCACCTGAGAATTCAAGTGCAGCAGTAAGGTTTGAGGTAAAAAGTCACAACAAGCTTGTTTTGTCTTTGCCTCTCTTTTGGAATTGTCCCTTGCATATTGCACATGTACCACAAACCGAAGGCAACGATGTGATTTGATGGGAGAAACAGCTCAGAAGTTTCTATACCGAGCAGTAAAAACCCTTTCCCTTTGCAGCAACACTCTGTGGAACCTTTAAAGAGCCATCTACTCCCTACAACATCAGCCTGTCCCCAGGGGCTCTTGCCTTTCAATCTGTCACATTTCCTGCACATCCCAGGGCTGAGTCACCACCTCTTGCTCTTTGAACACAATTAAATGTGCCCTCAGTAGCCCTGGTGCAGATTCCTCACTTAAAGCTTCCTTTCAACTCTAGGGCTGGTTCAGGCTGCTGGGAAAGTTATGTGGGAATATTCTCAACGAGAAATTTGAAAATCAGACTACAAATGATCACAGAAAAGAACAGATATCTACTGAGATGTAAAAATCTAAAGGGCACCAGATTTCCTTCAGCTGACAAGGCACTTTCCTTCCCCTTCCTCTGCCATTAGGTTTTAATGGATTTTACAGTCCAAACTACTTTCTGGTCATCTGTATTACAAGAACTGCTTTTCTGGGCTAAAAGTAGAGAACTGATGAAAGTACCACTTTCTAACCCTCTCTGCTCTCCTTAAAACTGCTTTATAAACATTTCTTCCCTGCATTTGCAGAGATGGTCTCCAAACCAATCCCCCCTCATTTTCTGCTTTGTTTAACCTACATCTAAGGGCACTACTGTTTAATAAGAACAGTAGCTAGGAAGCATGGCCAAATCTAATTGCATCAAGCTAAAAAATTAAAAAAAGAGAATGAATAATAAGCTCAAGTCCACCTTTTGATCAGCACAGACAGTTGACTGGTGCCATCACCTGGCTGTACACAGCAATGAACTCGAGCAGCCTGAGCAGGTAAAGTTCATTTAAAATGACAGTACTGTGACAGTACTTTGAATGGGACATTTGAACGAGTTATTCGATTCAACAATGAGATATAAGACAAAGAGTTGCTTTTCAAAGTAATTTACAATGCTGTCTGACATCTGATCTTCTTGAAAAGTCATAAAATCTGGATTAACAGGTCCCTGTATAACATCCAGAGAGCTCACTTATCTAGCAGATGGCATTTTATCTTTAAAAATGTAATAGAACAAAAAAAAAGGGTCTCTCCTAGTCAAAGAGGTTTCTCATTAAATAGCAAGCAGTTCTCTACTGAACTTTAGTTGTCCTAGCAGTAAATACTCAGAAAGAAAACACAGCACTCCACGAACACAAAACAGACATGTGACAATACCATACTGAAGAACTGTGTTATTTCTGGACCTGATTATACACATTATCTGGCATATTACAAATTCCTCAGTTGTTCATTATTTAGTCTAACAGTCTCCTACACCACCTAAATACTGGGCAGTAAAATTAATATTACTCTTAAATGCAGTCATGGTTTCAACTCAGCAGTACAACAGAAACAGCCCCACTCAAAAACTTGTTTTATATGTCATCAAGGTATTCTGAGAGGTGATGGAGAGAAGTAACTGCAAGAAGGCTACTTAAAGAAATTAAGTATTAGACCCTGTTTTGATACATACACAAGGATTTAATCTAGTTGTTTTCTTTATTACAGGCTGCACATTACTGATTTAGAGAAATGCAAGACTGCACTCTTTTTAAATATAAAAGAAACAGTTGAGTAATTCTATTTCAATATTCTGAGAGAAAAAAAGCCTACAGAAAACAGCATGAAATGTTCAAATGCTACAAATTAGAAAAAGTGATCATATTATTTTTGAGGTCACACCAAAAAAAGCCATAACTACACACTAGCAAAAGCTGAGCTACAGAGTAGTGTTCCAACAGCACATGGTTTATCAGGGAAAATCTGTTCCCCAGCTCTTGTTCGTGCACCTGTATTAAAAGGGTCTAAAAATTTATCAGTTCCACATGGTTAAGCCCACAGGAAAGCCAGGGATTGGCTACTAAAGCCTTCAGAGTCTCTACAAAGCAGAAATACAACTCATTACAAATATGTCAAAAGCACAGCAGACTCACAGTGTCCCACATGACTATGTTGACATCAGTACTGAAGGAATTATTGATATGCTGGGTAATGTAAAGATTGACGAAATCACAGAAGTGATGGTACATGTTGACACCTGAGAAAGACAGAATTGTTAGCAAAGCACAGCATCACTCCTTCCACCTTTATTGGTTCATGCATTTTTCCTTAGCAGTATCCTGTATTTTTATGTTAGTTTTCCCCTAGTTCTGACTGAATGCTTCTAATATACCCTAAAAAAAGCAAACTTTTAAAGGGAAGGAATCATGGTAAAAAATCTGAAGTAAAACATGTTTTTACAAAGTAGTTAGTAGATTGGCCAAAAGAAAGCATAAGAAACAGATAAGTTTCATGTGCTATTTCTCATTACAGTCTGCAGCTGCTTTCTGAAGTATATGAAAGGAACTCCTGCTTTAACACAAACCAGTCTGACACACAGGAAACATGAAAGCTGGCCCTGGGCACTGATCTTGGTTCTGCTTTAGTGGGGCTAAGGAAGCTCTGTCTGCAGAGCTGCAAGACAGAACTTGTACTTGCACACAAGCCAAAGCCCAATTAATTCCTCAGGTTCTCTCTCAGAGCATTCTTGTTCATTCTTGGTTTCTTAAGCTTAAGACCAGGGTGCATAAAAAACTACCATGAAACAAAGGAGGCAACACAGTCCAGTTCCTTACAACAGCTTTGCTTAAAAGGGAAGACACTGGCACGAGAGGAGGATGAATTCAGGTTACAGTTGCCATGTGTCACAGGGACAGAACACAGCACACAACCATCCTGTTCAAACCACAGCTCACCACTGCAGCTGCTTTGTCTGAACACATCCTGAGCACCCTGTGCCACTAACAGCTGTCTGCAAACTGTGCTGTACCAACAAAAAGCCTGGTGAAGCTCAAAAAATGTCAGATACCACTGGCTGATTCCCAGAGGTGCCTGAGTGCTGCCCCTCCTGAAATACCACCTCTCTTCCATATCATCCAACACACTCAGAATCCTGTTACTGAGTACATACTACAAGACACAGACACCCACAGGTTGTGTTTCACAGTATGAAACCTGTCATAAAGAAAGAAAGCCAAAGACTCTGTAGAGAACAGACTCTGGCACAAAGACAAACACTCTCAAATCACAGTCAAGAAAACCACTGTGCAAGGCAGCAGGAAATTATTTTGATTTTTTTTAAATCATCTGTGGGAAAAAGTAAGATTTTCAAATTTAAGTTTTTGAGTTCATCACTGGAACTAGAAGGGGAAAAAAAGGAAGGAAAAATCACATCATTTTTCAAAAAATAAAAATATATTACAAGTGAACTTAACAATCACAAAGGCATAATGTAGATGGGCAAGTTGAATATGGGTTTTTTTATACTGCAGTACTGCAGGATAAAAAAAATAAACTAAAGATACCGATTACCTGCATCTAACTTCATGAAGTACGTTGGCTTTTCAATAACAATGTCACACTTTTCATCTTCTAGAGGCCTGAAGTCTAATGCAGTAAATGTCTGGAGTTCTGCAAACCTAGAAAGATTCAATCACACAGAACATGGTTTGACATTAACACACTTATACAAATGTAGTTCATACGCCTAAGGTTTAGTAACTGTCCATCCAGTCCATTTGATTTAACAGGACTGCTGAAAACTGATAGAGTCTGACAATTAAAATGATTTGAAATTATAATGGAGGGTTCCTCAGTTTATGAGCTTCTGGAGGTTAAACACTGCCTTTGATCTCAAGAGTGAACAGCATCTTTGATCTACAAATCAAGGCAGCAGAGATGTAACAAAGAGCCTTAGAGCCTGGGTCTGTGGGTCCATCCAACTTGATCTGCATTGACAAAGACACTCAAGCAAAATCTCCATGCTTTGGTCAGAATAATGAATGTAGATGTAATATTTATTATTCCTGGATCTAAACAAGGATGAGCAGTTGCAATGACAATAGCAGGTAGAGAAGAAAAGTCCTTTCCTCCTCTGTTCTCAACTGAAATTAGCCATCAAGCCAAAATGATGGGGGGAAAAAAAATCCAAACATGAGAAAAGCACGAAATGAATTATAACGTGGACCTTAATGGCTCCAATTCCTTCATCTCTCCTCAATTAACTGGCAATGCAGCTTTGAAGTGCTAACATGCAAACTGTGATACTCTGCACTTCCTACTCAGCCTCAGCGTGTTGCCCATCTCACATTCCAAGCACAGGCTCCCTGGGAACACTGTGTGAACACATCCAGCTCAGGCACTGCATTGGCCCCATCATCACCACGGACTGTGTGAACTAACACACAGGCGCCAATTCCAAGGCATTTCACAACAAAACAATTATCTCCTCCTACGGGCAGGTTAGGCTGAGAGCCAGCATCTTGCCCAGAAAACACTTGAAAGTTAGAACTCCCAATTACAAGACATTTTCAGATCTTTTGCTGCAGTAAATTAGGCAGGACACAATTACCCACAGCATAGTTCAGAGGTTCTGCACAGATGCAATTACCAGAGGTATCTAGTATGAACTCTCAAACTGACCCTAAAAGGAGCAACTCTTTCCTCAGTATGAAATCCCCTACACACAGCTGCTAATGCCAATGCCAAAAAACCAAAAATAATTAGTGAGTGAACTTGGAAGCAGAATCCTTGACAAGAGATTCTTACCAGGACTGCAGAGGGCTCTTGCGCTGACCTTCAGCCAAAAATGCTTTAACGTCGAGGGTGCAATGACCTCCAATCTCTCCCTTCTGGAAAAAGTCTTCTTTGAATCTAATGCAAATTAGGAAAAGTCGATCAGCTTTGCTACAACAGGGCTAACCAGTGCCCTGCAATCTCAGTTACATACTCAAGGCAGTGCTAGTTAGTGTCAGTTCTGCAAGGCACTTCACACATATTTAAAACCTGAGTGTTTTCTTAAATAAAGGATTTCCCACAATTCCCAAATAAAGACAGTGGTGTCCTTAAAGTTCTAGAAAACATAGAAAACAGCACTAATCCACCCAGACTGTTATTAGGAATCATTTTCACATACCTGAATGAGTAACTTAATTAGATTTTGCTACATGATTACTCACAGCAGCACCATTAGTTGGAGTTTTTGTTTGTTTTTAACCACTGAAATTCACCTCAGATTTCACAACCCAGTTAGCTATGCAAAGATTTTATACAACATATGAAGAGTGAGGTGCAAGAACAAATTTCATGAAAACAAATTGCCAACTATAAGCACTGTCTAAATTAGCTTTCAGGACAGGTTGAGAAGAGACAAAACCCATTCTGAGGGGTATTGTCAGTCATGAAACACCTCCTTTGCAGTCATGTGCCCCAAGACACTGACTTCAGAAATAAGACAGGAGGTGATGCCAGCATCAGCAGTATGATTTTTACCCAGTTTTCCAACGTGTACCGTTTTAAATTGGGATATGGAAGATCCAGGCTCAGATCTCTCTTCAGTCACACTGTATCTAAAAATGCAGTTCCTAGATCTGGTATAAAGGTACCCAGCACAGGAAAGGTCTTGGTGGCTCAGATGGAAACTTTCTGTTTTGCATATCATCTAATCAAGAAAGGACATGACCGAAGACACAGAAAAGTCTTCCTCTCTTCTATCATAAGGGAGTATTTCAATCACCCACCATTACTCCATAAAACTGACCACTTAGGTTTCTAAACAACCTGTACTGCTGACAGCAGCAGCAGACAGCAGTGAAGAGGTGTAACCCTCAACAAGACTTCATCATCAAGTCTCTGACCAGCAGAAAAGCCCATGGCAAGAAGCACACCAGCTTTGTTAAGCAAAGTCTCAAATCCTTTTCCCTGCCACCCTGTTCTCACTATAACACAAGCAAGCCAGACACCTGTCATGGTTTCTCTTCACAGTCCTTAAATCAATGTACAGGTTTGTTGCTCTGCAGTGTTGAAGGTACTGGGAACAGGTCAGAGATGAATCCCCCTGTTAAGAAAAGAACAAGCAGAATTCTGTCAATAACAAAAATTATGTCTAAAAACAAGTGCAAAGTATCACATCTACCAGAAACACCTACTGTTGCTGCAGGCTTACAGTGGGTCTTCATTTCATTGAGCCTCTCTCGAACATAACCAAAATCAGCTTGTTTCCAGAATATCTGCTGGGCTGTCTCAATGTCACTTGCCCTGAAGTGTGAAGGACAGAGGAAAAAAAATCAAGGTCTATTGCTTATTTCTAGTAATAACTTTTAACAGATAACATTTTTTTTTCACTGAAAGTGGAAGAAAAGGACCAGCCAGTTACTTTATTGGCATTTAAGATGCAAAACAGGAAGCACTTATCAGCTCCATGTAAATGAAAACATCAATGACAATTTAAAGCTATTCTCCCGTAAAAGGGTATAAAATTTTTTTTAACCTTTTTTTCCCCTCTGTTTTTAAAGCTAAGAAAGGAAATACACAGTTATTTTAGGAATCTGAAATCAAGGCTAAATCAGAATAACGAAAACATTCTAGCAGGAAGCATTTCCAACAGTATTTTCTTCATTAAAAAATTAAATTTTTAAAATCATGTTGAAAGGCATGTTATGTATAAATACACACATTATACATACACACAAGTCTCTACAAAGAATCATCCTTTAAATTGTAAATATCACAATAACGTTGACTTCACAGTTAATAACAAAGTGAGCACTACACTTTTTTTTTACCATAATGGACAGTATATTTTTAAAATTAAACTTACCATCCAGTTTCAACATAATCACATACTGGGTAATTGAACCTGTTATCTGATCTGCAAGATTTCTCATAACCCCAGCAGGATTTTAGTTTCTTCAAGTGTTTCTGTAACAAAGAATAACTGAATTAGTTTTGCAACAGCAAAATAGGAAATGACTTAAGTTAGTTGTTAGATTTTAAATGACCCCTTGCTCATAAATCTTGCATAAAAGGCTTTTGGTCTGGTTTGTTTTCAAACAATTTCAGAAAGAACATCCAGATTCTTCACCCACAACAGAGGCTCCAAAGAGGACACACATCCACAGAAACTTTATTCTTGTCTATAATGTGTCTGTTCTAGGCCAAACCCTTTTCCTGACTAACTGGTAAGGAGATCAATTAATCACCATCTTTAACTGCTATGACTCCAAGAACAAACCACCTCAATATAACATTTAAACAAACAAACAAACAAAAGTAAACTTACTTTATATGGGCAAAGAGCATCCCGCTTACAGATGTCAGCAATATGCTGGTTATTGTGCAGAAAGTATGGAATATGCTCATCTGGCAAGTTGATAGCTTTGTAGCTATACAATGGCTCCTCTGGAATGTTTGTGAATTCAGTAGGATTTTCAGCTTGGGAATTAGCCAGAATTTCTTGCAGTAGCAATGCAAACACAAGCAACATAAACATGGCAACCCGTGAGTTCTGTATTTATTAAAAAACAAAAAGACCAAAAAAAAAAAATGTTTAACTTATCTGCAGCATTTCAAGCATAAAAGACAAATTTCAGTCAAAGTCACATACTCAGAGAATTTGTACTTGCATTTCTGGAGTGGTTTCTTTTTCCTGTAAAGAGCAAACTTTCACTGAGAGACCAGACTGTACAACCTCAGGATTATCTTTGAATCATTAGTCATCGAGGGTTATTACACACCACCAACTCCCAGTCAAACTAAAAGGGGTGTGTTTACTTTAGCTAATTCCCAAGGGATCCTGAGAGTTCAGCATGGAAACTAAGTATAGAGCATGTAATATCCAGTCTGAAGGGAGAAAAATGTAGAACTACTGGGGGGAAGGGTGAGAAAAGAAGGATTTTTAGTTTTAAAATAAGTATAAAAATATTTTCTCCACTTTGAACTAATCATTAGCTGAAGGAAAACTACACAGTCACAAATAAAAGGTCACAGATAGGTTCTATTACAGGATGCCTGGTTTTAGTGCTTAACATCATGTTAAAGAAACTTGACTGCTGAGTTATGTACTTTACATATAAAAGTTATATATATAATCATATATATAAAGAGTATATATATATATCTTTATACACACATACTTTAACTACAGGCCCACACATATCTGTATACTCTAAAGCTGACTGCATACCTTTCTGGTAATACAACCTTCTCATCAAACACCCCTGCTCTGAACCATTAAACTTCCTGGGGTAAAAAATGCGTGGCCTGTATCTAAACCACACCTTTTCTGGCATTATAATTTGCTAAAATTTGCATGCTTGCTTTCAACCGAAGCCTTTAGCAAAATTCCTATGATACAAGTAGTTTTACCTGTTTGGTTTGAGGAGAACCGTTTCAGATTTCCCAAGTGCAGAAACCTAATGCAGGAGGAGGAAAAGTGGAGTGAGGTATGTCCTGTAAAAGGAGTTTTCCTTGGGACATTGTCCTGCTTCTTGAAACACATTTCCAGTAACGAGAGCAGCTTTCCACAGCCTGGGAACGCTGCTGACCCGTCGGGTGGCTGCAAGAAACTATTTCCCTTGCCCTGTGGGGCGGGAGGGGGGTCTCGGGAGGATCACACCGTGCCCATCACAGCTCAAAGCCATCAGTACCCTGCGGTGCCCCAGGACTGAGTGGCCCCTGGATGCCGGCTGAGGGTCTGTCACTTCGGGAAGGCGCCCAGCACCCAGTGCCGGGCCGTGCTGGTGCCATGGTGGACCCAGAACTGGACCTAGAACTGGACCCAGTCTCCGGCCCGGCTGGACCCGGGTCTGACCCACGCTGGTCATGCCCCTGCTGGACCCGGTGCCGTGTCCACAGCGAGCCCCGAGCGGCACCCCCGCCCCGTCCCGTCCC